ACTGCAGGTTCAGAAATAATGCCACAGCTAAAGTTGTCCAAAAATACCATTATGTTGTGTAAAATGTGGACCTTAATATCCTTATGATGACTGCAGAAGGTTGAATACAAATCAAGATGTGCCATCATGGAAGTCTTAGTGATGAGTTCATAACAATTCAAAAATATTAAAATTGTTTTTACTGTATAAATTAATGCTGTTTTGGATTGCCTTAGACTTGGCCATGTCCCTCATTTTACCATCTGTCAAATGCCTGTTGGATTATGGTTCATGCTGAAAGATCAGTTTAAGTGCCAAACTGAATGACTGAATAATATATACTTACAAAATGTTGTATTGGCTGACTCCTTAAATAACTGACTAACTTTCCATCTCAGTAATTAACTTACTGACTGACTAATGGGTTAATTTACCATGTGAGTGGTTGCTTGCTGCGTTTCCATTTGCAGTGCATTCAAGGACATCCAGTTGATACAAAAACACATTCCCCATGCATCTAACCAACTTACAGACTCACTGGCAAACTGAATGAATAACCACATTACTGATGGGCTGCCTGACTGGTTAATTAACTTACTGTCTGTCTGTTTGTAGTGCACCCAAGGACATCCATCCAGCTTGTACACAAACTATTTCACACACACTTCTCTCCTCTCTAGAGTGACGGGAAGAATATTTCCCTGTTTACTCAAGTGCCACTTCATGATTAAAAACTAATCAGGCTTCAGCCAGCCTGGGATCCCCCTACACACTGACAGAATGAACTGTAATTATCTTAACAGGAGAGTGAGGAGCGAGAGGCAGAGAGACATGGACAGAAATAGAGGAAGGATGAAAGAGTAAAAAGACAAGTGTGAAAGGAAGGTGAGATTCAGAAGGAAAATGGAAAATTAGATAAATCAGAAGTGGTGTCACATACAGAGAGATTATAAAAGTGAGATGAAGGGAGGTAAACAAAGAAGTAATAAATGCTTTCTTCTCTTCTAAACCATTGTAGCGTTTAGCCTTGGTGATTGTGGATGAATTAACACAGGTGAGATGGCAACTACAAATTGTTACTCAACCTAAATCACTGTTTTCATTAGAAATATTTATTTTAAAGACCCCTGGCTGAATTTAAATCTAGTCCGCAAGCTCAGCTGGAAAATTTAAGTGTAGAAAGTAAGAGGAGGAAAACAGTTTTGTGAGGCTAAAAAGAAACAATTCAAATGATTTGTGATTTTTTTTTTTTTTTTTTTTCCAGCCCTCTTTCTATAAAGCTGCTGAATCATGCTTTTTCAGTTTCTTCCCACAATGCTCAAGTGCACAAGGTATTATAGCACAAGGAGAATTCTGTATGGACACAAACTGAACAACATAGACAGTCCTTTGTCACAGAGTCATTGTATTAGTTACTGTATCAGACCTAAGTCTAACCCTCAAACAAAACCTCAACTCTCAAACACACCTTTTGAAGAAGTTGAAGAGGACCTCATTCTCACAGTCCAAAACCAGTCTTCACAAAAATAAAAGAGGACACAAATACACAATCCCTGGCTCAAACACGCACCCACACTGGAATTACCATGTAAAGACAAAGCAGCAGTGTTTTCTCCACATGAGGCACAAAAACAGAGTGTGAGCTGCAGATTAATCCAAACTGCTGCGTAGTACATTTTTGACATGAATACTAACAATGTCACTTCAGTACATCACGCACAAACACAGGAAGACAAACCTGAGTTTGTATGTTATCTGAATATTTTGGTGGGAACACTGTTCTCATTGGTTACTCACATACCCAACACACATTCACACACACACCTGAGCAATCATCCTGTCCCCTCACGCACAGACAAAAATTCTCTTTCAGTGTCCGCTGGTGAGATTTTGTGGGGCAGAATGGCGTCTGGCTCCTACGGGACTCATGGAGTTTAGGTATTTAAGGATTTAAATAACGAGGATAGGACACACTTATTCTCATCCACAGACTGCACACACACAATCTGCTGCTAAGATGCAAGTTTGTTCCTGACTATTTAGTTTGACCGCCACACTTTGATCAGCTGCACTGTCACTACTTACTCTCCAGTCACGTTTTAAGACAAACAGAAATACTTAGAAAAAGAAAAATGTTGTGACCAATGTTTTTTTCCACTTAAAAAAAAAAATTACGTAAAAACTAACCTAAAAATCTCACCTCTCAGAGTTGCATCGACTCTCTCTCCAAAAATCCAGAACCTAAATATGCAAATAATTTTCATTTCAAAAGTCTTAACAACTACTACAGAAAATCTCAGCCACTTGGCCACTGACACTAACCCACCCTTGACATTACAAATACAATAGTTTGTACAGCAGCCTGCTGATCTTCTAATGACTGTTTATAACTGCTAAAATATCTGATTATATTCCCTAATAGGATCACATGTGGCCCATTAGCTATTAAAACTTTTTTTTTTCTTTCTTTAACCAGCCAAACCTGATTGTCCTTGTAAATGCATCTGTCTCTCTCCCAGCTGGAGATGCTAAGTTTGCATAAACAGGTGCAAAAGTTCACCTCCCGTCTCTTCATCCTTGCTACATCCCTCTGCTTCTTAATCCTCCCTTCTTCTTGAACTCATTCCTTTACATGTCCTCTCCTTTATGTCATCTCCTTCCTCTCTCTGTCCCCTTTCTCACCTCTAGCTGGCAGACACAATAGTTTACTTGTCCTCTTCCTTTTTCTGATTGATTCTCCTTCGATTTTGCTCTTTCTCTCCCCTCTTTCTCCCAGTGGGACACAGCAAAAAAGGTTCAGTCAGGTACAGAAGTTCACCTCTCCTCCCTCCACCTCCCTCTTCCCCAGTGGGACCATGGTTAGCAGGAGGGGAAAAGGTTCACTTTTTTCTTTTTTCTCCTTTCCTCTTCATCTTTCTGTCTCTGTTATTTACACTTCCCTTTCTTCCATGTCATATTTTCCTAATTCACTTGCTAATATTATTTATCTTCCTTCCCTTTCTCTTCTGTTTGTTCTGTGTTGAAGTATGGAACAAACAGCTGGATTCTGTTATTTACATTTCTGTCTTTGTTTCTTTTGGAAAAAATATGCTGTGCTATGCTGCAATTATGCAGACATACAGTCACCTCAGGGTAAATCACAAAATCTGACTGCAGCAAAAAAAAGAAGTTGGACTGACTGAGAAACGACAGCTGCTGTTTAGTCTTATACATTTCACTGTAGGTAAATCACCTTCTGTGCTTCTGTTCAGGAAACAAGTTATTTCCATTTGTGATCTCCATTGGTTGGAAAACTGTACACACCTGTTATCAATTACTTTGTTACTTTTGTTTGTGTTGCAGCCCTGATTTGTGAACTAGACTAATACAGCAGGCATTTTCTTAACATCACAATCTTCGTGTAGCTTTAAAGTCTCCTTCCTCTCAACACTTTTTCACTCAAAACATTTCTGGTTCTAGCTTCTGTCTTCTATGGTAATAAACTGAATATCTTGTTGGACAAAACATGCAGCTTGAATATGAAAACTTGGACTTTGGGGAAATTGTGTTTTGTGCATCGTTCACTATTTTTGGACATTTTCATAGACTAAATGATTCATGAGAAAATAGTCATGGAAAATGGATAATGAAAATAATCCTTAGCTGCAGCCTTAGTTTATTGTGAATGCTGTGTTTCAGATTGTCCACAAAATACTGTAATTTAAGCCAGATCAGGGATCAGTAGAAATATCAATAACATATTCTCATAGTACTACTCCCCACTGTGGAATACTAAAATCTCAGTTATATATCTGCAGCATGGTGTAGTCTATAGTCTTGCTGCACCAGTCCTCTCATCTTTTGCCCCTATCTCACTCCCTGTTCACTCTTTCCTTTCACTTCTTCCTTTGTGTCTTCTCACTGTTGCTGTTTCTATGCCTTTTATACCTTTTTTGCTGTTCCTCCAAAGTGCAGCCTGACCTTTCTTGGGGTTGCTCCCCTAGAAGTGAGTGAATGAAATCTGTGTGTGTGTGTATATGTGTCTCTTTGTATGCTTTTTGTGGATGTGTTTGCACATATGAATTAGTACCGTACTTTCTTTCCTAAGGTGTGTTAGTTGAATCTGACAATGGATTAACTATTAAAGTGATAACAGAGAAACACAGTGTCTGAATAATTTGTCCTTGTATCGCTTGCACCCACATAGGCAAAAAATAAGATTCTAATATACTGTATATATAATATAAGATGGTGTAAAAAGAAAAACAACAAGAAGTCTACCAGGCCAGAGTACTGTCTCTAACATGATTTTATTTTCAACCACATTAGTGATTCAGCTCCATGGATGTCAGTGTCAGTCTGTCGGACGTGATGATGTCGTGATCAAACTAAGAGCTATGATTTTTAATCGGTGTTCAGACCAAAAACAGCCTTGAGTTATCAGAAACACGAGGGGCTGTGTTGTTGGAAGCAAGTTGTCTGAGGTATTGGAAGTTTTTGTAACAGATAACCTGAGTTTGAATGTTTATCAGAGGCAAACATAAGTGCACAGCAGTTAATAATATGACACAGGAATTCACACACCAGAGGTGATGGCAATTATTTTAACTCTTGTTGTAAGAAATTAGTTTCAAAATAATCAACTATAAATATGCACTTGCATGTATTTGATTGGTCGCTGCAGCCCCATGTGGATGACCCTGTGTTGTGTTTCAGCACCAAAGTCAGGTTTGGGTCAGTGTTGCAGGGCTGAAGTTGGTGTTAATGAGGATTTAGGCCTGTTTGCATTATCTGTCATTTCCTTTCATTACCAAACTATCCCATGTGCAAGATGACTGAAGTGAAGTCAGATTTAAATGGTTTTGATTGAACCTGTTCCACAGGTGACAGACTGCCATTTGTTTTGTTTTACTCATGCCATATATGGATCCCAAGTAGACCATCTGACTCCCACTACATCGGCTAATGGTTTTCCTCTCAGTAAAATATAAGCAACGTAATCGCCAAAGCTAACACAAAGCTTACTTCCACACACAGTTCAATATCATTTTATAAAAAGAGCATTTATTTCAAAGTTTTTTTTTCGCTTCGGAGATTGAAGCACATAGTAAAGCAACAGTACAATGTTCAGAAAATATAAGTGTGATGCTGTAACATTTTTTTAATCTTATCTTCTTAACATGTTTTTGTTGTAATACTGGAATATTCTGCATGTATACTAAAATAAGAACTTTTAAAATTGTACAAATCGGTACCATAAAACTTGACAGAGAATAAAAACGAGGCGTTCTCTCACTGCAACAAACACAGATTGCTAGTTTTCCTCTTGAACAGGGAGAAAGAACGACAAAACGCCAAATAATGGAAAAAAAAAAAAAACAAAGCAAAAAAATCAAAAGAAAGACAGGTTGTATTCACACAGGCATAAACCAAAGCTGATGTTAAACTTTTGGCAGTAAATTTCTTATAGCTGTCCAAAGTTAAAATCGAATACCATGTAGTCTCTCCATGTTTTGACAACCATAAGAACAAATCTGAGCTACAAAAAGTTAAACATAATTTGGTGCCTGTGTAGCTGCAGCCAAAGAAAGAACAATTATTGTCATAATAATGATAATAATAATAATAAAAAAACAACAATAATAACCATAATAATATAATAACATTAAAAAAGATTGAACAAGAACCTACACGCTTAAAAAGGATGTTCTGGTTTCAGCCTCTTTGTATATGTGGCTCAGAAAACACACCTTGTGCTATTTTCCAATGTGCACATTTTATGTTTTAAGGACCAGTGTGTAGGATTTAGTGGCATCTAGGGATGAAGTTACAGACTACAGCCAACTGAATACCCCTTCCTTCACCCCACCTTTTCCAAGTGTGTAGAAGAACCTATGGTCGTCTTCAGGTAAAGTAAAAAGACCCTCTCTAGAGCCAGTGTTTTTGGGCTACTGTAAAACTTGGTGGTGCAACATGGAGGGCTCCGTGGCAGAGGACCTGCTCCCTGTGTAGATATGAAGCGCTTATTCTAAGCTAAGGAAAACACAACAATTCTTAGTTTCAGGTGACTATAAACTCCTAAACATAATTATGAATAATTATTTACTTCTGCCAACAGAGGTAAATCCTACACACTGGTCCTTTTTAAAAAAGCAACACATGTTGATACAACAGATGTTGCTGCCAACATAGCTGGTGTTGGGAAAAAACACAATGCACATTTACTTGGACTACATTTACCGTGCTAGCAGAAACAGTACATTCTATTTTAAGAGTGCTTGAGGCGCAAGTTGGATCCTCAAAGTGATTTATCACATGTCTGCACATTGCTCTGTACATACCTAACATGGAGAATAGTTTGCTTTCTGAATATACTTTTCAAGTTACAAAAAGAAACAAAAAGAGAAAAAAAGAGAATGCACTGCGTTGCAAGAGTGTCCATTAAGTTTAAGGCGATTTTTAGAGCTCACAGGTTTTTACTCATTGTGATTGATCATCATTGGTGGACTCCAAATGAGGAAGTGATCATTCATTGGTGGACTTGGTATGGGAAGTGATTGTTGATGGGAGGAATGGGAACACAGGGGCGTGGATGGGGACGGGGCGTCATGTCTTCTTTGCAGTGAAGAATGAAAACAAGAATCATCCACAGTTTTAAAATTGAATCCATGTTTAGTTTGTCTCTTTTTGGGAGTACAAAAAATGGTATTTGAGTAGCATTTTCACAGATACTCAATCCTCATGTGTTTGTCTGTGTGTAGCTACTGAAGCTAGCGGTCTCTATTGTTACTCTTGTTGTGTTTACCCCTGGAGTTGTTGTTTATTTATTATAAGGCCACCATACTGTGAAGATGCTGTGAGCATCTTCAAAGTATCAACAACCCAGAGTCTGTCACGCCATCTAAACCACAGTACCTGCTGAATTCTGCACACACAACAACAAATGTGAAAAAAGCGTTTTGTTTCAACTGTTTGACCCTACTGACACATTGTGACCTTCCATATCTTTTTCATAAAATCAGGCAGTTGCTGTATCCCACACTAACTTTTTTCTTTTAACTTACTTTAATTTGCTCTCTCTTCCTCTCTTTCTAGTACGTCTTTTACATACATCACAAAGAGAGCTACTATGACCTGTTAAGACCACTGGGACCTGTTACGGGAATAAAATCTCTCTCAGGTACCACCGAGGAAGTAGGTGAATCCAGTCCACAAAAGTATATAGAACCTCTAATAAACTAAACAGTTTGCTATAAGCAAGTCATTTTGATCATACAGCAACATTTTTTCCCAGCAATTTACTTCCAAACAGACAAATGGTTGACATAACAAATCTCCCAGCCCTACAATGCTCAAGTCTGTAGAAATAGAGAGAGGGAAAGAGATATAGGAGGGAAAGGAGAGACTGGGAAAAACTGGGAGCGGTTTGAGTCCAAGCGTTCATTATGTGTTCATTAACAAATCTTCTTGGTGGACCAGGGAGGTGCCAGGGAAGGAAGAGCTGTTAACGTTTGTTGACAAATTGGCATGAATTGATCGGTTGGTAGTTGGTAACAATTGGGAACTGGGGAGTGTTAACCCTCAGTTAACAAAACCTCATGGAATCAATAAATCAGAAATCAGGGGCGTCCACTCAGCAAGACCACTGTTAAGAGTCTTCACCATCATCACCATCATTAATGGAGCAGTCTTTGGTCCCATACAAATCTGCCAGCTTCTTAAACCTCGGCCCCCAACTCTGCAGATAGTCATAATCCAAGTCAGACTCTGTTGTGACAGACTCGAGGGAACTCAATGAGCCAGCCAATGATCCTCTGCCTTCATAGCCGTAGATCTGAATGGAGTCGTAGGGAGGTGCAGTCGGGTCGCTGTCAGCCTCTGCAATGCGAGTTTTGATGAAGTCATCGACATCAACACTGTTGGCTGCGGGACGGCCAATACCGGGCCTAAGGGGATACTGAAGCTCTGGTTTGATGTCCTTCCTTGGCAGGAAACCATTGGCACCATCTGGGTTCTAAACAGTTAGAAAGAGAGCACCTTGCTTTAAAATCTGACAGTTAAGGCTGCAAAGAAAGTTTTATTGTAAAATAAATTTTGAATGTATTTGCTGGCAGAGTTGATCCATCATATTCAAATAATAATGAAAAAAGACAAAAGAAGAAGAATTTGAACAAAATTTAAATAGATTTGTAATTTGACTGTACATAAGCATTTACTATCAGCTGAAATTGACAGATACAAAACTGTGTTTTACCTGCCTGCAGTGAAGTTAGTGTACCTATTATCTCTTTCAACGAAAGTATTAAAACATTTAAAAATACTAAAATATTTACTGCCACCCTACCCCACTTCATACCTGCAGTGTAGCGATGTCGAAAGCCTCAGTGTCCTCCTCACCACCTCCTTCATCGTCATAAGTGATAATATTCTCTCTGATGTCCTCCTCCTCAAACACTATCAATGGCTCCTTCTTCTGACGCCGCAGTGCAACAAACAACACCACTATTGCTGCCAAAGAGAAACATACTATTTAAAAATCGTTCTGCATTTAGTAGTTACATTCTGATCCTCCCACAGTTTTTGTGAAAAAGTAGAAAAGTGAGCATTAGATAATTAGTATGCACTGTGGGAGTTACTGTAATTAGACCTTGGACAGTCTAATTGATATAATTATTGTATTGTGATATACACGTGCTATTTTAATTGCAGGTGGTTATCAACATCTCAGGGTCTCAAAGGTTCTCAGTTGTGTAGTGCTATGGATAAAATGCAGTGTAAACTTGTACTCATACACATTACAATTCAAATTTTAGCTCCTTACCCAGCAGAATGACAATACAGGCCAGTATAGCTATCAGTGCCCCAGTGCTGAGACCAGCAGGTAGGACGTAGGGCTCCACGTTACAGGAGAGGATGGTGTCTTTGCTGTCACAGGAACACACTCTGATGGTCAGGGTGTTGGTGCTGCTCATTGCAGGGAAGCCGTTGTCATTTATCTCGATGGGAAGGTAGTAAACATCTTGGGTCAGGCGACTGAATCCTTTACGGAGCACATAGATACTGGCTGTGCTGTCTGTGGAGACAGATAGACGTAGTTTGTAAACCGAAAGATGAGTAGGTAAATGATAGTAAAGTACTCTCTTAAAACTGCAGAAGGACAATGGGGAATATAAAAGAATGTAAGTAAGTACATACTGCTGAATTTCATCATCAGCTTGAACTTCATCACAGACTTGCATACATGTGCAAAAACCCACACAATGCTCTTTTTCTTCTTTTGCTTTCTCAGCAACTCACATGCACATTTTCCTTGTTTATCATTGTCCACACATACCCAGTGTCAACCACCCACACACAGAGACACATATATTTTACCCTAGAGCAAATGAGGTGTGACTTTTGTGATATGAAATTCAATAAAATAAAATTAATAGTGGGTGCATTCATCAGTTAAGGAGGAAGTTTAATCAAAAGCCATTGTTACTGCTTTTATGTCATGGGCTAGCAGCTGGCTTTTCCTCTACAATACCGTTTCAAACATACTTCTTTCTGACAGCCCTGTGATGATTTCTAATGTCACATAGGCTGTATAGCCAAGAAAGGATGGGCTGACTTACTTTGGAGGCATTTCACAAGCTTTAGAGCAGACATAGGTTCTTTCTGTTAAAGCGTTATATTGCTCTGATCAAAGCTACCAGATTCCATGGACAAAAACAGTAATCATACCTTGCAGAACATGGTGATTCCCAGCTATTGAGAACACAATAACTGCACTCTCTGCAAGGTTTACTGTACAGTAAAATGTCGACATTAATCATTTTTATTTATGTATACAATTTGAAATTAAAATGTTTGAACATGCAAAGAAACAAATTGTACATCACAAGTAAAATAAAGCACAGGTAAAAGGAAAAGAAGGATACATCAGTCACTTTTGAGTACAAACAAACCTCACAGGGGCTTAATAAAACTTTTCAAAAACAGTGAAGGTAGACCCCAGCCCTCTCTGTTACTGATGTCACTCTCATCTGTTGCTATCAGCCTCCTGCCAACACTGGTACTCCCTGACAGCTGTGTGTGTGTGTGTGTGTGTGTGTGTCTGTGCGTGCGTGTGTGTGTGTCTGTGCGTGCGTGTGTGTGTGTGTATTGCATGTGTGTGGATCTGAGGCATCTGAAGGTATTTGGACAGATGGAAAGAGTGACTCCCCATATATCTATGTCAGTCAGTCTGTCTGTCTAAATGGTATACAAAACTGTGTAGTGTATGGTGCTGTGCATCAGCACCATACACTACACAGTGTACACACTAACCCCAATATTGTTACAGTCCCCTCCAGGTCCCTCAAATCCTGTAATTTCCTCCCTGTTGATCATATGGATCTCAACTCAGTTAGCATTTCCACTTTTGTGTTCTTCTTCTCCTCAGTCTCTTACAACCACTTCTTCTTGGTCTATATTCTCTTTTCTCTTGCCCACCTCTTCCTCTTTCCCTCTCTCCCTCCCTGTCTCTCTCTCTCTCTCTCTTTCTCTCTCTCATTTTCTTTTTTTTAGTCTCCCAGTACTCACAAAACTTAATTCAATCAGTTGCCTCCCTAAGATGTATGTACAGACGGACAGGGACCCCGCTGCAATTAATACAGCCCGCAGGACATGTGTGTATTTGTGTGTGTATGTTGTGTGTGTATGTGTGTATGAGATAGAGAGAGAGAGATTCAGAGCACCTGCTGCTTTCTACAAGGTACTGTAAGCCTCCATCTGGTTATGCTTTGATCTAATCTGAGTGGAAGGGAGGGGGGAAAGAGACCACAGATGAAGAAACACGAAGATTGGCTGCTAGGAAAGGCTAGAAACTGAAAGTAAGTGAAAAGAAACAAAAGAAGTGGGAGACAAGAAAAAGTAATATTTTAAAGGTCATCTACCTCGGTTGTCTTTGAGAGAGAAGTTATGGTTGTGGGCGACTTCTGGAGCGAGGCTGAATGTGAAGTGTTGTCTGTGAGCCATCTCATCTTTGTCCACTGCACTTACTGTTTCAATAACCTAAACCACACACACATACACACAAACACATGGAAAAACAAATCAGAAAGGAAGACAGGAATTTTATATACTGGCTGTGGGTAAATTTTAGGTTTGTTTACCATAATCCTCCAAAATATATGCATATTTACATATTTGTATTACATTACACACACACACACACACACACACACACACACACACACACACACACACACACACGTACATACCTTCCCTGGCACAACTGTTTCACACATAAGGACTTCGTTGTTGGTAGCAAACTCTGGGGAGTTGTCATTCACGTCTTTCACTTTGATGTTAACACGCACTTTGGTGTCCTGGTGGTGGCCTCCTTTACGTAGACACACATGCATGCACACACACATACAGAGTATAAGGCAAAATCATCAGCATTCTGCTGCATACAATAATTTGTGTCAAAGTCATTAGAGACAAGATGTCAATGGTTCTTGAATGTGCGTGATTGCTGGTGTGTCTTTATTCAAATCCATTTTTGGCATTCGCCAAACACAAAGCGAACTGAATATTTTCCGGCAAGATTGCCTGTCAGTCAGTCAGCCACTCAGCCAGCCATTTGTTATTTTGATTTGCAAAATTACAGACATGAGTTTGTGAGACATCTGAATATCCAGTCAGACAGTCTGCCACTCAATTAGCTTGCTTTTACCAAAACCATTTTGATAATGCAAAAGTGATAAATGTCAGGTTATGCCTGCTGGAAGTTAAAATGAAGAAAAAATGGTGTGAATCAAACAGAATGTGATGTTTGAACAGCCACCATAGACACAAAAAGCAAATGTGAACTCTTGATTCATTCAGAATATTAACCAAGAAAGACTGAGAGAGAGAACAGCATATTTCTATATCTGTCCATTGATCTAAAAAAAAAAAAAAAAAAAAAATCTAAAAATCTACACTCTACTGCCTTGCATATTTGCAATTCTAGTCAGTATGATTTTTCCACTACCCTGTCATTACTAGGCATTTATTTAGCTTCCCAGGGCCTGATGGCGGTTACCATAGCCTGCAATGGTCCTAGCTTTGTGGGCGGCGTGCCTGTTTCCATCTGGCCGTCTGGCGTCTAGCACGCCACAGGGAAACCACGCGGCGCTTTGCTAGTTTGAGCCCCAACCACAGAATACCAGGGTGGGGCCTCTGTGGCTCGCTGGCTGGAGGGCTTGTGGGGCTGAAGCTGGGGAGAGAAAGCTCTAGAGGCCGTGTGGGTCAACTGGCATTCCCCTATTTTATCCCCTCAGTGTCTCTGAATTGTGAGCAAGAGTGTTTGCGGACATGATGGGCAGTTAAGAGTTTCAGTGTTGCCTCAACTGTAGCTTTTCACATCTCTTTCACTGCTTCAAGGTTTAGATAACTGCCTTTTGCATTACTGAGCAACCAAACCTCTGTGCTTTATGAATCTCAATCACAGTCATAAACAGTTACAGCAACAAGTGAATAGTTGAAATTTATCACACCTTAGTGGTGCCTTAACAGCTGCTTTTTACTTACTTACTTTTACTTTTTACTTTAATTAGTCACATGAAAATAAAAGAAGATGCCACATGGACAAACTTTACATTCATTGACCTTAGACACCAGACACTGAACACTAACTGGGGTAACAGCTGGATCCACTCAACAAAAATAATACCACCAAGCATTTACTGTATAGCAATCTGCATAAAGCCAATCCCTCCTGGCTGAAGCTGAATATATAATTAGTTTACCAAGATTCAGGCAGTTCTTCACTGACATTCGTAGCAAAAATGCTAACTATAGTCCAACCCGAAGGGAAAAAAAAATTAAAGACAGCATCTTGAATCCACTTAGTCTGTACATAAGATGTCATGGAGTATATCCAGCACTACAGAATGACAGGTTGGGCTCTGGATGCCAACAAATGTACAGCCTGGTGGCTATCTTGGATTTTTCCATCTGTTTGCTCATCTTTGACTTTGTCTTGCCATTCTATATCAGTGTATACTGTAGATTGGTTTAGCAGCACAAACCACACAACATCCACGATCAAATGCAGACAGACTTGTTTCTCTGTAACTGCTAACTAACTGCTCTCCTGGAATGGCTTAAATATCAGTAAATTAGTGCTGACAGCCTCATAGCTATTGTGTCACTTCAAATTCAAGCGCAGTAGATATGAGTGTGGAGACAGCAATGATTCCAAATACTTTTTCTTTTAGCTTGTACCATGATGGTAATGAGACGTATGTGTGTGTGACCCAGAGAAAGAACTGGGGAGAAACCTACAAACCCACACACATCACATTTGGTTGTTTGTCTGTCTATGAATATGCATACATACCTATCTCTGTGGCTGACACAGATATGTTGTGCCAGGCCTGTGCTTCTCTGTCCAGTGGTCTCGTTGTGGTAATCATACCGTCTTCTGAGTTAATGCTGAAGAACTGCTCGACATCTGTGTACCGAGGGATCATGTACCTATACAGAGAATTAACAGTTGTGAATGTGAATTACGACACATAAATGGCTTGTATTTTAAAACATTAGTTACTGTAATAATATCAATGAAAACTTAAGTGATATCCACAAAAACAAATAGCAGCTGCAAGACAGAGGGATCCTCACTTCTAAGTCCACAGTCTGGCTGTGCTTTTGTAATCCTATTTTGCATTCCTATTTACTCTGAAAACTTCTTTCTGTGTAATCTGTGCTTCTGAATGAAAATATGAGAGTAAAGCCAAGTTTCCCTGAGTCACACTGTTTGTTCAGTGTAGCTGAAGGAACACTATTTAATAGTTGTTTTTTATGGCACTGTTCCACGAGAGTTCACACTAGTGTTGAGATTCAAATTCTCCCACCACTACAAGCCTGATTTAGTGAACGTGTGTCTGTGTCTGTGCTACCTGACAGGGTTGTTGGCAACATCAGTGTCCTTGGCGTGGACTCGTCCCACCAGGGTGCCTTCAGGTGCATTCTCTTCTACCTCAAAAGTGTAACTGGGAGCTACAAACACAGGAGGCTCATCTGCATCCTCCACTGATATCTATACACACAAACATAAAAAAACACGCAGAATGGATAAAACGCTTGTGATGTTACAGATACAAGCTCTGTTTACTGTGCATGTACTCTTGCTCACAGTTAAACACATGCACATAACTATGCACACATTACAAACATATTTTAAATATATATACCTTTATTGTGGCTTCGTCCTTATAAGGCCCCCAAGCGAGGAACTGAGGGTCGACATGAGGGTTGGATCCTTCCACCTTCAAAGTGTAGGACCTTTTAGTTTCAAAGTCCACCGGCTGAGAGAGAGAGAGAGAGGGAGGGAGGGAGAGAGCATGCAAGTCACTTAACCAGTACATCTCAAATCAACATCCACCCATGTTTGATTAAATGTTAACTGTAAACACACACAATGGCAAGTCTTTTTGCTGTGTAATGGTATCTGAATGCTGAAGAAAATGCACTATTTATCTACTGCAGAGGTTGTGTTGACTTTGTGAAATGCAGTGAGTGACCAGTGCTGTATCCTTGTCTTCTGGCAGGGGGAGCTGTGGCTACATGAAAGAAAACTGGGATATTATCAGCTGTATTGACAACAGCAGTCAAAACCAGGGATAACCCAAATTCTGACTTTAATTTTTAGTTTGTATTGCATGATATTACATGATATGATATGAATATGTTGGACCTAAATGCATCACTGGCTGTTGTAATCATCAGATAAAAACAATACTGGTCTGTTTTAATGAGCCAGAATTAGGTTTGGGAGTTTGGGATACCATATGATAAAGGGACATGAGAGTGCTTTGGGTCACATGGTGTTGACATTTAAGTCCCAGATCATAAGAACAGCATGTGGACCGTTTTTTTTGTATTTAGTTTTAATTTATTACAAAATCCCTGGCATGGATTTTTAATATCCATGAGGTTCAATCCACTAATATTGAACAGAGCTATTCTCTTACTAAATGTTGGGAGAAAAACCACTGACTTGTAATGACCTTGATATTGAAGTGACTAGAGTGTTTTACTGTTCAATGCCAAAACTGCAAAACATCACACCTCATATTACATTTTCATTCAGTCATGAAAAAGTGGCACAATAATTACAAAGCGATGACCCTCAGCCAGATAGTCTATTCGGTACTGTCCTGACTTCTGTTCTTATGCACTGAGTGTGTACTGAGTATATACTACTGCAGGGAAAACTTTTAAGTCAACAAAGGTGTTGGCAGTCATTGTATAACAGCTATAATACCCAAGAGATGGTCCCTGCTCTGATTATGAGGACTTGAGCGTTGCCAACAGCACAATGCTGCGACTTACTCTCTAGGTCTGTGCCATCATAGCCATAATCACAGTAAATAATGCTCTTTTGGGTATCATTGCTGTATTATTAACCCAGATAATAACTACTTTCCCTCGCTAGTATTTTTCTAGCTGGTATGGGATGTTGGACTGGCAAAATCCCAGGAGCTAACTTAATCTTTTCATCTCCAGGCTACCATCACTTAATGAAATCCCAGTGGGAGGAGAGACGCCTCATAAGCCCTGTGTGAAGTGTTATAAAAGCAGCGTGAAACTACTACAGATTTATGAGGTTGACATATGAGATTTACCAGTGGTTACCGGTGATTAATATGGTCACAGAGACTACCAATACCAGATATTATAGATGGGGACTGCTGTTCGACAAGCTTTCGCACAATAATAGTGTCTTATCATTTATTGGAGGTGGGCAACCTGCTTATTATCGATAAAAGGTTTCAAACCTAATAATTACTGCAGTGAAAGGGTAAAGACCAAGGTGAAGGCCAGGATATTATATCATTGTTTCCTTTTGCTGTGGATGCTAGTATCAATCATCTGTGGGTAATACCTCAGCTTGCAGTTGGTCTTTAATCTATTCAGAACAGTTTTCAGTCAAAGGACTCAGTGCCAGAGTGACGTTTCCACTCTCAATGGATTGTTCCACTCTCATTCAGTCACAACAACATGCAGGTGTTTAACGTGTTGATGACAGGTACAATGCTAATAGGATAGATGTGACCCAGTTCTTTCATTTCCCCCTTTTTGTTACACTCCCTCTGTCTCTAGGTCTTTCCCTGTCTCCTTTGCCCTCTCTCTCTGTCTCTCTCTCTCTGTCTCTCTGTCTCTCTCTCTCACTCTTTCTCACAGTCTATAGATCCTCTCTCTCTCCATTCTCTCCCTCTTTGTGTAATCAGTGTGAGATAATGGTATTCACAATAATGCCTTCCTCTCTCTCTCTCTCTCTCTCTCTCTCTCTCTCTCTCTCTCCCCCTCCCTCTCTCTCTCTCTCTCTCTCTCTCTCTCTCTCTCACACGCACACACAGCTCCTTAATATTCTGTGGACTGCTTTCGTCAGGACACAGTTGAAAGAGAATAGCTGATTAAAGCTCATCCCTGTGTGTGTGTGTGTGTGTGTGTGTGTGTGTGTGTGTGTGTGTGTGTGTGTGTCTGTGTGTGTGTGAGACGGAGAGCGAGAGAATTGAGATTAGTGAAGGCTTCTCAATGCTGATTTGAAAGTGTGTTTATGTGTGACTCTGTATGTGTGTTTCTGTGTGTGTATCTAGTGTGTGTTTGGTTTTTGCGTGGCACTGCCTTCAGGGGGCAAAAGGTGTTGATTTCCCGAGAGAAGTATTAAGACACAATAATAACATACACACACACACCCTTGCATATACGCATACATAGACACACATCTGTTGAGATGCCATAATCAGTTTGATTGCAGCAAAAGTGGAGTTGCATGGTGTGAGTATTTGTCATTGTTTGCTCCTGAACGTGCTTACATACACACACACGCACACACACGCTCACACACACGCACACACACTTCAAATCAACATCAGACTATAAAGACTATTATTCCAAGTCATACAGGGATCAGTGTTTGAAGGATTGTTGTTTTGATAGCTCCTGGCGTCAATCAGTGGCCTTACACACAAGCCTACCTCCCCACACACACACACACACACACACACACACACACACACACACACACACAGTCACTTAGTTAGTGATAGTCAGTTCAGTGATACTGTTCATGTGTTGCTGTCAATTCTTTCCAGAAAGACTAAAGTGGAACTGAATGTCTCCATGTATATGTTACTTCATTTAGCTGAGCTTGCATACATGCAATTGAGTGTGTGTGTGTGTGTGTGTGTGTGTGTGTCAGTCAGACTGTTTTTACAATGAGGTCACAGTCCTGGCTAGCTTTAGCGATATTGAGTTGAGCATAAAATGTTTACACAAGCATTAAACATTTCTCAAGCACAGTTTTTTGGCTTTGACTGGGGTACACACACACACACACACACACACACACACGCACACACACACCTAAACAGTGCCACACTTGAGTATAATCGGTTGCTCTCATTATTTTGATTGGCGTGCCCTGCTTTGCTCATCTGTACATTTAGTCAATGGATTTTAACAACTTCTTTGAGGGATCTTCCTTGAATATCTAAACATTTAATTGTTCCCATGTGCTTTTTTTCCCCAGGGATATGGGAAATAGGGGAAGTGGAGGCAATTTGTATTTCAGGTTTTCCTCAGATCTGATTAAATTTGGAAATTCCCACCTGAGATCTGCCCAGCACAACCACATAGTTTTCTGTTGTTGGCTGATGCCTAAACTGTGGGTTAACTGCTTTGTTCCAGGACTCACAATTGTAGTTGTTGAGAAAAAAGAGAGAGCATTACTTATTATTATCATTCACTTATTTCCCTGCTCAGTTGCGGTGACACCAGTGGGAGGAGAGACCCCAACCCTGGCAGTCTTAATGCCATTCTCCAGTACGGAGCTACGAAGGAATCGCTCATGCAGACGGTTGTGAGAAAAAAGCATGAAACAGACTCATATCGATTGATTCAGAGATTTTCCCACCACATCAGTAAAAACGAGCTGTAGGTTAAGGCTGGCTGCTCTTTTGAGCAACGTCATTGCTGTCTGGACAAGTACTGCAACTTGCCATGAATGTCATCATACTTTCAAGCACATAATTACACATTTGAATGCCAAGTCTTTCACTGAAGGAAATGGTTTGGAAATTTGGGAAAAAAAGTGATCACCTCTGTGCGATTATGTGGGTTGAAAAGCAGAAAAACATAAAAGAGTTTACAAAATGTCATCTTTTACTATCTAGTATAACCATCCAAAAGACAATAAATAAGAGAATTTTCTAAGAAAGTTTTTAGTACATTCCATTCTTATTTTCCCTCACACATTGATAGGTTGGCTATGAATGCTATTATTTTTTAAATGAGAGGCTCAGAGGTCGGACACCCTAGGAGGGAAAAGCAGGCTACCACAGCTCACTGGAAGATTCAGCTCATAATCCTGACCTGCAGCCACACATACAACTGTGTGTGTGTGTGTGTGTGTGTGTGTGTGTGCGTGCATTAGAGAGACGCAGAGAGAGGGCGAGAAAGAGGGAGAAAAAGTAATTGTGTGTGCTCAGCTGGATCACTGAAAGCTTTAGGTACCGTGTGTGTGTGTGTGCGTGTTTTATTAGAATAAGAGACGGTGTGTGTGCGTGCATTAGAGAGACGCAGAGAGAGGGAGAGAAAGAGGGAGAAAAAGTAATTGTGTGTGCTGAGCTGGATCACTGAAAGCTTTAGTTACCGTGTGTGTGTGTGTGTGTGTGCGTGCGTGCACACGTGTGGGTTACAGTCATAGGGCAGAAGATGAGCTCTCTGGCCTATGGAAGCATGAAAGTTAATGCACTCTCACTCACACATGAAAGTCAGTGTTCATATCAAACACAATAGGAAACTGTGAGGGTGGTCAGGGAAGGGAACACAGAAAACCTTTCCACTGCTTCTACCCACTTTCCTCACTCCACTCACTCCTTTCTTTCTTTCTTTCTTTCTTTCTTTCTTTCTTTCTTTCTTTCTTTCTTTCTTTCTTTCTTTAACACACAAATATGGACACAGACTTAAATCTTGGCTGGCTGGGGCTCACACTAAACTGCTTTGTCCCTAGAAAAAGTGCCGTCTCAACTATATTTCTGTGCTGGCAAGTTGAAAAAGTGGGCGATGACGCACACATAGTTTCCATAAGAGCTAGCTGTTGAAACAGCCATATCAGCTAACAGTACTTTTGACCAACGTGCTTTACCAGAAACTGACACAATTAATTGAATGTTCTCTATACTGAATATTTATGACCAGAGGAACAACACCAACCAACGTCTCTACTTTTATTTTCTCCCTTTCCATTACGGAAAGTGAGAAAGAATCATCGTGAATAGTTATACACGAAATGTGAAAAAAAATGTGACAATGTGAAAGGGGTCAGTCGTAATAATGAACCTGCAAAGAATTATTACCTGAATCTGAAGCTACCCTTGGCTTTTCAGAGCTTTATAGTGAGTTACAGCTCATTGTTAAGCTGTTTAGCCCATAACTTTGCTGCTCTGGTTCATTCTCACTACTCTGATGGGGCTGTTTTTGGCTGCAGCAGGCAATCATTTTTAGCAAAAAAGCTCTAAATCCCTCTGTGCACTACCTGCTCACGGAACAGCTGGGTAGACAAAAGTTCGTGACTAACTGGGTAACATAGTGGAGTGTTTAGCTGCTAAAGAGCCAGATATTTCTTTCAGGAGCTAAAAGGAGGGTGACTATTGATGTTACACTCATCAGGTGGCCAGAAACACGACTCCAAATGATTGATAATGTAGCTGTTAAGTGTGTAAATAGGCAACTGTTTGTGAACAAGTTTGTCATATCAACTTATACGGTGATGATATGTCAATGCTGCTGTTCTACCAACAAATAGACCACAAAAAAAAAGGTTTCACGTCTCTTTCTTTTGTTCCTTACCTTCTTCAGTTTAATGACAGCCTCTCTGGTCTCAGAGTCAGTGGACAGTTCAAACATGCCTATTCCATCTCCATCTATTAAGCGGTAGTTCACCATTCCATTGTCTCCGAGGTCAGGGTCTTTTGCCTTAAGACGGCCCACCTCCTCTCCTGGCACTTTATCCTCTGATACAGACATAGGATACACACCTGGGAGAAAAATAAAGGCAGAAAATGTAGTGTGCTTTGGTTGGCTGGTTGGTGATGTTAGTATCAACTTATGGTCACAGCTTGCCTTGCTATTCAGCACTCTTTGGAGAGTCTTTAGACAATTCCTGGCTGGCTGCCAGTGTGTTTACTATCTGTGGTAGGGTCAGTTTTGGAGGGCAGAGAGGGATTAACATGAACTATTCCATCTGTCTCATATGGCCCAAAGGACATTAATATCCCCTATAGCGTCAGGTGTGTGTGTCTGAGGGAGTAGACACCTGGCTTGCAGAAAGAGAACGGTAGGACCATATGTCTACTCTCTCTCTTCTTTTATCCTTCTCCCTCTCTCATCTCTGATATACTTTTTCCAGCCATTATCTCACTCTTCACCAAACCTTTTCTCCCTACTTTCTTTCATCAGTCCTCCTATCACTGCTCGTTTTATCATAAAATCCTCCTCTGTCTATTTCTTTTCCCAAATCTGTCATTTCTTCTGTCCTTCCTCTTCCTTCATCTTTTCTGCAACTCCCTATCCTCGTCCGGCCTTCCTCAATCTCTCCTTCCTCCGTCCTGGCCTCCTCCTACCCCATGATGATTCAGGCACTCAGCAGAGTGGACTCATCATTTTATTGGTTGTTCACCATTAGCATGTTTATCCTGCTCGTCCAGGTGTAGCAATCCTGTGAATCGTGAAATGCATTTGGTCATGTGGTTTCTGAGCAAATATGAGAGGAAGAGGAGAACGAGTCACAGGGCTTGATCCATCCTGCCCAAATCCCCCCTTCCACCCTCCAGGCGTCTACCCTTTTTCCACCACATCTCCATCGATCCTCACCAAATCCCTCCTCTCCGTCTTTACTCTTCATCTCTGTCTGTGCTTTTTAAACTCCTTTCCATAATGTTGGCTAACATCTTTCCCTCCCTCTTCATCTCTTATTTGCTTCTCCCCTTTCCACTCCATCCTTGCAAATCTCTTCATTCATCCTCACCTCTCCTCCCCATCTCCGCCTTATTTCTCTCATGCCTGTCTCTCCTCTCCAGCTCCTCTTTCTCACTCTCTCTCTTCTGCCTGCCGATCCTGGCTAAAAGCTCATTTCATCCCTGCCCTCCCTTTGCACTTTTCCTCCCTCTCTTCTCCTGTCGTTCTATTCTTGCTTTTCCTAAGTAGCTTAACTTAAATGGCTCCTGGCAGCTGAGTTAAACATTGTATGACAGAACACACAGGCAGCCTGGCATACCTGGCTGCAGGCTAAAATGAAGCACAGCACATACAGGAAATGTACATTTACATTCAAGGACCACAGTGAAAGCAAATGTGAGTTTCAGTGGTCTTTACTGATGATGACTTGCAGTCATAAATTACCGATACTTGTATTTTAGTTTGTCTGTGAATATGAGAAAGTCATCAGCTGCTTTCTTCCACGTAAATGATTGCACTCAGTCAGATGTCTGTTCTTGTAAAGAAAAGCTCATAAAACTATAAACGTTTGGATGTGAACACACAATGACCACAGTGATTACAGAAATTAGAACCATAATGCCTCACATCACTGTTTAATATATTACAACACATACTTGTGACTGTTATGTGTTGTAATATAGACAACGCTAAAGAAGGTTTCAATATTGAATGTGGTGAATGTAATGATGATTTAAAGTTAACTGGGGAATTGTTTATTCATAGAGCTAATATGTCTCTGTGATGTGTGCTTTGTGGTTAGCGGCACTAAGCTGATTCTTCAAGGACATCTCTTTACTTTGACAAAACGAAACATGCTTGAAGAACATATTTCTGCTGAAAGTTAAAAGTATAACACCACATTGGTGATTTAAACATGATTCAGTTTTGGGAGCATTTAGCTACAGAGTTGCTACGTGCTTTGAATGCGTAGGTGGATCTGTTCACCCACATGCAATCAGCGTTGTGAGTATGCAGACACGAAAAAGTTGAATTGAGTGTCTCTTCTACACATGATCATTTCGGTGTTGGTTTTCTCATCATTCAATATGAGAAAATCCCCTAACCTAAAAATAGCATGCATAAATGGCTAATTACAGCTAATAATTTCCACTGTAAAATGAGATATGAAGATCTACCAATTTTCAAATGGTAATCATCTTTTCAAGGAAAAAAGGATTTTTTTATTGAGATTTCCTGGTTTGCTTGTTGGTGATCAGAATAGACAGTTCTCTAATGGCAATCCTAAAAGACACTGGAGGTAAATGTTTTATGCAAATAAAAGCTGACAGATAACCACCAAAATATTATCTTTAACAGCTTTAATTACTTTTATGATCCGCTTGTTTTACATTGTTCATGTTTAAACAGTGAAGAACTGCAACTGACATACATTAACAGTATTTAATGAAACCATATCTGTCATGTGAGTCTAATAAAGACTGAAGTTAAAGAGAGTTAAAGAACAGTCAGTTGTTGTTTGCCTTTTTTTTTGTGTGTGATGGATTGTTGGGGTTGCAAACGAAAGATGCTTGATAATGAGGTGAAAAGGAGAGAATTACAGGGACAGAAAGTCTGTGAGAAACAGATGAAGACAGAGAGATCAAGCCTCGGAGTACAGACCAAATACAACAGCTTGAATGGAAACTGAAAAGCTGCTGGAACACATGAGAGGGAGTCATGTGCCATAAACAGTGGGGTTCCATTTAGGAAAGTGGTCTCAGGCTTTTGGACCCCACTGTATCTTTTTCTGTCTGTTTTTGTCTCTTTAACTGTATTTTCTCTCCTTTGAATCTGTTTTTTATTTTCTCTGCCTCTTGCTTTGCCTCTGTTTTTTTTTCTTGACTTGCTTATCTCATTTCCCATTCTTCCTCTCCCTCCTCTCTCTCACTCTACCCATCCACTAAATAAGTAATCACTGTCCTCATTCACACCATCTGGGAGACTTTTCTTGCAGGCGTTTGTACTGCTTCTACTGCTACTACTTTTATTTCAACAAGGGTACCCACTACCACAACATATTGCTTTTTATATGTTGTATCACAGATTTAAACTGCCAGTGATGTACAGACAATATTTAGAAATAATGCAGGAGGTACTTTGTTAACACTTCCGTCTGATAATGTTTGGTTGTAAAAGCTGATTTCTGTCATTCTGATCAGATTTTCAAAATTTTTTATATCCACTTTTGATATGGGAACAGAAGAGTGGCCTGTGGTTAGAAATCCCATCCTTACTGACTACTTACAACAACATTTCTCACATAATTTTTTGCAGTGTCCCATTGATATTATATAAACCGAAACAAGGGAGAAAATAAGATTTGAATGAATGTGGAATGTTTGTGATTTCATCCTTCTTTTAAAACTTTTGCCTGATCCTGATCATTGCCGTGGTTGACAAAGCACCTAGTTTGTTACTGCGAGGGTGCTGGTTCAAAAGGTCAGAGGCTATAAAATTTGGCTGAACAACTGGAGTCAGCTAAACATTTTATCATTACTGGATATTTTCATTTACTGAATAAAGCGCAGTCTTAAATGGAAATACTATGTCCTCTGTTTGAAATATTGTCATCAAATTCCTCTGACCCCTTGTCATTATCCATCAACACCTTAACAGCTTTATACTCAGTTCACTTGGTTTTACTTTATTAGGTACATCTTTAAGATCTAATACAGTCCAGAACAGTTCAGACATTTACAAAGATAACAGTATTTATTTTTAATCAAAATTGTCAGAGAAGTACTAGTTCAACTATGCAGTTGTGTTAAACTGGACTGCATTATATTATGCAGTGTTTCTAATGTGTTGGATCATTTTGTAAGAACTCATGGCAGTATAAAGAAATATGGGTTTTTCAGTTTTGAAACTGCTGGAGAAATTTTTTTTTTTATTTGAGCTTTTTCTAAACTCCCTCAAAATGTTTGTTTGACATAGCCTATATAATCATATTTTAGCTTTACATTGCAAGACACTGACACACAGTCAGCTTGTTGGGAACTGGGGAGATGGTTTAGACGGTGTCTCTCTCTCTCTCTCTCTCTCTCTCTCTCTCTCTCTCTCTCTCTGCATCTCCCTGTCTTTTATATTCTCTCCCTCACTCTTCTGCTCATGTCCCTCACTTTTCTCGTCTATTCAGCTTCCCCACAGGCTAAATCCTGAGCCCATGTCTCTTCTTCTCTCCATCCATTCTTGCAGCTACTCTGCTGAATCTCTGCCAGGAGTCTCTCTCCTTAGAGCTACAGGAGGGGAGAGAGGGGAGAACGAGGAAGAACAAAAAGAAGGAGAACAGAAAGAGGGGTAAAAAGAAACTTAAGCGGAAAAGACAGAGTGACAGATTGAGTGAAAGGAAAATGAGTGTCATAGAGGTAGACTTGAGGTTGAGTGAAAAAAAATACAGTGGTGCAAATCACTGTACAGGTAAACCAGAAAGCTTGAATCTTTGGTTGAACATTAGGTTTCAGGCCATATGTACTATAGCATATGTAGCATTTTCAAACCATTTACTGCATTTTTAAATATTAGACAAGAATTATTAACATAAACAAACAACAACCTCTCGGATTGAGCAAAGTGAAATGAGTCATAGAAAGGGAATATCTTCCATCCTGTTGGTTGTTTCTTTAAGTCTGGCAGTTCAGTCAGGGAACTCACATTTGCTTACTGGATAACATTGTTGTTAAGGATGATGCTGATGTGCCATTTGGTAAAAAGTCTGATACCTTCACACCTTTAACGTAAATGTCACACTAGAGGAAAATGACAGTCATGCGGCAGATATTATAAATGGATCGATAGACACAATAGGTGTTTGTACTCACTCTGTGGGAACTTTGGAGGGTTGTCATTCACGTCTGTGAGGGTGATTTTAACCTCAGTGGTGCCTGACAGCCCACCCATGTGACCTCCCATGTCTTTGGCCTGGATGACGACATCATACTCCTGGCGTGCCTCACGGTCCATGTTTGGCAGGGCAGTACGAATTATACCTGAATGTACAGATTTTAACATCAAATTAATGCTCACATTACATTTTGTTTCCTGTTGCAGTAGTATATGTAAATATACACCATGTTCCTGTGTTTTTGTGTCATTCTCTATCGAAATGATGTCATTCCAAAATGTAATTTTTATGTGCATTGAAACTGATAAAGTCATATTTGAAAAGCTCTCTCTTGGAAAAACAGAACCAGCTGATAAGCAAGAACTTACAATGTGATTTGCTTCCCTAAGAGTAGGTGCCATTTATTTCAAGATATTTCATTTGGGAAGAAAACACATCATCACTCATCATTTGTATGAATGAGAACTTTAGTTAAACATGTGTGAAGTCTTATTTTTCTCCATTTCAAGCCCCAGTAATCTTTTCTTTCTGTTTAATTCATCACCCGCCACTCTCTTTCCATCTCTCTCTTTCTCCAGATGTCTAGCTGCAGTGTCAGGGAGTTGAGGCTTTCTGCTGTCATATTATGCCAAGTGTGTGTGTGTGTGTGTGTGTGTGTGTGTGTGTGTGTGTGTGTGTGTGTGTGTGTGTTTGTGTGTGTGTGTGACAGCACAAAAAGCTGGTAATCTCCAAACCAATTAGAAATATGAGCTATGGATTTGAGCCAGTCAAATACCCAACACTGGTTTGATTAGCCAGATTTACTCTGCCCAAATCACTCTCCCTCTCCATGCCCTAACCTCTCTCTTTCCATGAACTCAACCAATTTCTCTCTCTTTCTCTTCCCCAACCTTTCTTTTTCTTCTTCTTCACTCTGTCTGACCCAACATAGCTCCGTGTCTGCCCTAACCTCTCTCCTGGTATCCAATTTCTTCTTTTAATGCAAACCCAAATATTAGGCCTGAGCTCTGCAGAGACCAGGTTGAGTGTCCTCTGGGGACCTCTTTTTACAGCAGTGCCTTCTTTTCCTCACCAATTTCACAGGAAAGGACTTGCTGTTACATGATCCCTGCAGCAGAGAGTACTTTTTATATTAAGAGCAGTAGAAGATAAAAAATAATCCAGAAAGATTTTCAGTTTGGTCTTAGCAACAAGCAGTTTCCGCAGGATGCCTGGTTCACATGGCAGTTCAGGCTTGAGGTTAATAATGCTTGGATACACAGTCATGCCTAAATCATATTACTGATGACATTTAAGATTTAACATTTTGTAGTGATGAATAGTAGTTGTTAAAACAAACTGAAATTTGCAGTACTTATTTTGAAGGCCCTGTAAAACATACCTATCTGGTGAACTGGCTAACTGGCTACCTATCCGGCTGAGCATACACTTGAGCATGGTAGTACATCAAGGCCTATAAGCTTGTATTTGGTTGTGGTGTAGATGGTTGTAGACCTAGGGCTGGAATCTGTTTTCAGCCTCACCTGTCTGAGGCTCCACAGAGAAATATGGTTGTCCTTGCAGTATGCTGTACACCAGTCTGGCGCTGTTGCCGTAGGTGGGGTCATCAGCATCTGTAGCTGTCACCTGCATCACTGATGTACCTACAGGACAGACAAACAGACATGACAGACAAGTCAGGAGATGACTCCACCTCAGTGATTCGGTTCAAGAATGGTTTGACAAATAAGCTTGTCATAGAATGTGTGTCGATTCACCTGCCTGCACCGGCTGTATGGGAAAAGGGAATGAAAAACACTCTCCCTTCTCTCACACTGAAGATGAAATGCTGCTGTGAGGCTGGTCTCCACTATTATTTCTCTACATTTCATCATTGTTGGGTGGAAACATCCACTCTTCAATTGTGGCGATTTTCATGTTTTAAATACATTATTTTCCCTCCTTGCGTTGACACTTCTATAGCCCTTGGAGTCGTGAAACCCTTTCAAAACCCATTGGATAATCTAAAACATGCATGGTTGTCAAGCTCAGAATCAAGTCCCCAAAAATGGCCATTTTGAAGATGTGGTGTTTTCACCCGACAACAGTAATCTACTTCAAGTAAATCTTACTTAACTGAACTTGACACAGTTAAACTGAGCAAATAGGCCAAATAGATTAAATTTGTGAAAAGTGTGAAATACATTTTTATTAACTTTGCTTAATATTTAAAATTTCCCTTTTCAGATGTGACAGAACTCATGAAACTAACTCACACAAAAATTCACAGAAGTACTTCTACAGCTGTCGACCTGCACCAACTCTTTGAAAGAAAAGTAACATCAGCAGCAGTTTAGACCTGCAGATGCATACACATAGCTGCCACTCTCTGTCCATCTCTCTCTTTAAGCTTAAGTGTCTCAGAGTTGAGGTTGTCAACTGTCATATGCCAAGCATGTGTGCATGTGTGTATTTGTGTGTGTATGTGTGTGTGTGATAGCATGAAAAGCTGGTAATCTCCAAACCAATTAGAAATGTGAGCTATGGATTTGAGCCAGTCAAATATCCAACACTGCTTCGATTAGCCCGGTTTGATTACTTTGCCCAAATGTCTCTCCCTTCCCACATCCTAACCCGTAGTCACTCTCTAACTAATTTCTCTCTCCTTCTCTACAATAACCTCTCTCTTTCTGCTCTTCCTCACTGTCCACTTTGTCATATCGTTGCCTCCTATAGACACTGCAGGAATTAATGATTATTTATTATTATTTTATTTATGGAAGGTTTTTTTTATGTAAAACATTTTATTCTATACCAACAAATAATTAATGAAAACAGAACATCAAAGTACGTTATTTGCTGCTCAAATCAAAATGCATTTCAGGTTGTGACTGTGAGATATCAACACCATGTTAACTTTTAAAGATTTAGTAAATGAGTCCTTCAGTTTCCTCTCTAGACCTACAGTATATGATTTCAGGTACTAAAACTGCTAGTTCTGTCTTTGCAACTGGGTAGTATTGACTGGACCCTTTTAAGTGTGTCACATCAATGATAAGGTGTATTCCTCTTGGTTCAACATATCTTCTTTTCTGTTCCACATGTGAGGATTGGACAACAGTTCTCCATTGCAGCCATGTGAGCACCACTATCCTAGTCTGTATGAAATCCATTGTGTATATAACTGTAATCAAATTTCATTCAGCCTTTGTCTCAATGTGGCAGCTACCTTAAGTGTAAAGGATAAATTACCAAGAATGTTAATTTGAAAAAGACTGCCTTCTCTATCTGTGCTAATTCTGACATCCATGAGGGAACATGGACCTAGTTAGTCAAATTACATCTTTTCTTTCTGTTCCACTTCTGTCGTTGAGGCTGATGGCAACCGGTGGCCCCTCCCTGTCAGACTTCTGTATTCAGGTTTCAACTCAAGAAACGGATGTGTGAAAAAACCTGAACAGAACTCATTCAGAAGTCCTTTCAGAAGTTCTTTCTTTGGAAGTCCAGTCCATTCAAAGAAGGGATTTCTCTGGCTGTCAGAGTTTCTGGCAGCACCACTGCCAATGTGGTTCATTTCAGGTCAGCCTTAAGGGGTTGAATACTCTCCAAGACCACATAATATTTGGAAAGAAAATCTATCAAGATCAGAAGCTCTAAGTAAGGAGACTCCAAGGAGATGGTAGGAGGTCTTGCCCATGCCAACCTACTGCTAAATATTTCCTTGCCTCTGCTTTGGTTGAGAACATTTTCTCTTTTATGTGCATATAAGAAAAGAAAGGAAAAAAAAATTAAAGGATCTTTTTAGGAGCTGAATGTATCAGCTAATGGTACTATCTCATAGCCACTTCTGTCACACTTCCTATGTTCAGATTTCAGTGATAATCAATAATGTAAGAGAACGGCTGTTTAGCAGACAAACAACACAAACTCCATCAGTGACTTCATTAACAAACGTCACTCAATATACAGAGATGATCTTTTCTGTACTGAAAATAGATGGCATTTCCAGCTTGCATTCAAGATTTCGAGTTTTCTTAATTACTGCTGAATCCTCAATTTAGACTAAACTCACTTATTGTAACATAAGCACACAATCTACATTTTGGATTGACTCTCTTTGTAAGTTAACATGCTCAGCTAACATGCATTTACCTTCCAAGATGATGCTCTAGTCTTCTTCTACACTGTCCTTTTCCCCATCACCAAACTTGGCCTCCCCTTCTGTTGCCATAACCTGTCTTTTACTACTCACCAACATTAGACATCTCAGGCACCCTGGCATAGTACGGCCCATGTAGAAACTCAGGAGGATTATCGTTGATGTCCTGTACTTTCACAATGAACTCTGATGGAGGCTCCAGAGGCTTATTTGTGTCTCTGGCCACTGCCTGGGCTGTTAAAGTGTACTGGGCCTGCTCCTCACGGTCCAGGGTTTTTGTGGCGTGGATGTTGCCCGTCTTGTCATCAATAACAAAGATCGTTCCTGCACCTTCACCGGAAAGGATATACTTGATGTTGCCATCGCCTGAGTCTACGTCTGAGTGGAGCTGAAGAACAAGAAACGAGGAGAGTGAGACAAACTAAACTGAAAACAAAGACGTGCAAATGTAGGACATGTTTGGTGCTGCCAACATCTGGATTTCAGATGTTGTGGAACTAAAGAGTAAGGGAGACAAATTGGTGGTTGCACAGTGAGACAGGTAGCCTGGTTGGCAAAAGTAACATGAGGCTTCTATTTCTCAATTCTACAAACTAAAGGAGCTGAAATACTAAGATAGAGGCTAGTAGCTGTGCTATGTCAGATGGGCAAACACTAATAAGTAAGAGATTTAAAACATTGTCATAAAAAAAATGAGGAATGTTCAACATTCAATTAAATTGTTGGTCCTCCTTTACAACCCCTAGACAATGAAATATGATGTATTGTAAACATCATTTGTTGTTTATGAAAGCCTCTGCTGGGTTTGAGTGATGTTGTTGTTGTGGAGGAGAACCACCAATCATCTTCACCCCTGAATGTGAACATGACCTCTCTCTTTCTCCTTGATATATGACAAAAGTACATTTAAATCCTGGTGGAGCCATTTGCCGTCACCCTCCATGCCCCCGCCATGACTGTCACTGGAGGGCAGTATGGCTATTAATTGGGGAGCAAGTCAAATTTTAGACTGTTATTTGGGTATTAATTCTGTTTGACTCAACGGAAGAGAAGAAGAGTTGATGGAAGAATGCTTTATTATCTCACACTATATTATACTCACCCTGCCCACCAGAACTGGATCAGGTCCAGTGTACTCCTCAATGACGAAGAACTGATTCCAGACCCATCCTCGTTTGGACCTGTGGAGTACCTGCCCTTCCTTCCCCGCCCTCTGTTTGTGTCTATGCAAGGACAAGTGACCTGCAAGCGCCAAAAACAAACATCAATAAATTTATTTAAACCAATACTACATTTTTCTGTTTAACCAAAGAATTCTACAACACAATTATTTTGGCCATTTATTGAAATTTTTAAATTGTTAAAGGCAAAATAAAAGGTTTATTTAAGACACTCTAAGTTGAATGAATGAATTATCACTACAGCTGTAGTTCATTTTCTGAGAATATTTTCAATAGACTGAACTCAAAAGTGGGTGGGAGGCAGTAACCTCCTGAACAGAGAGGCCCACTTTTGAATTATGGATCACGGGTTCAAATCCCAGCTGAGAAAATGTGGGTGGCTGGTGGGAATGACACATGCTTCAACAAGTAGTTCTTTAGGTGGGGAGGCACTTAACCTCCGTTTGTTGCAGTGCAGCTGCTCAGTGGCTAACAGGAGCAGGCTGTCGTTGTAGCTGAGCAACAGCCATTTTTGAACATCTGAAGGGTGCCTTGGCGAAAAAAAAAAGAAATGCTAAGTAAAGAGAAAAAAACTAAAAAATTGAAATCATATTGTTGACAAGACATTTAGGTTTGTTCAAGTTAATATGTACAGTAATTGTAAAAAATTGGGCTGTCAGGACAGTACAAAGTGACACATGGTCACGAAGGGTAAATTTGAGAGAAGGGGTCATTGTCAGTTTTAATGTACAAACACCACGAACAAGAAGTGTTGTGCGTGACCATCTGTGTTTTGTCAGGTGAAACTGAAGTTCGAAAAAAATCCTGTTACAGAACATGTTAAAGCCAAATGATTAGGAAACATTGTCGCTTTTGTCACACCTGGATGTCTGTGTCTGTGGCTCCTTTGATCCAAGGAAGCATTTCCTTTCCGGGTTCCTAATGCGACGCTACAGAGCGCAGAAACTCCCAGCAACACCAGGAAGGTCCTCAGCAGCCCAAAGCCCTGCCGCTTCATCATCAGCATCGCCATCTTTTCCACTGAGCTAGTGTGCACTTCACTCCGCCCCCTACTTTCTGGTTCCTCTCAGTGGAGCTCCGCTCCCACTGAGGTGATATCCTGGTTTTGCTAACAAAATTTTGTTGATGAATTTCTAGTTCATTAGCTTAGATGGAGCCTGTTGCTGCGGATACTCATCACCAACTTTCACGTCACTACTGTTCTTCTTCTCTTTCTTCTTTTTCTTCTTTTTCCCGCTCAGTGTTTGTTCACTCCCTCTCTCCTCCGATCACAAAGCCTAAGAGAGAGAGCAGAAAGAAGCTTGGTCAGTAACCATTATAACAATGTTATAACTGCTTTAAAACAATCTATCTGAGCAAATTTACATTGAATTTAATAAAACTTCTGTTTTCAAATAAATACATTTCTGTAAAAGTGATACATTTAACACTGCCAACGAAAAACACAAACAGTTTAGTAATCATTCATTGATATCTTTTTATAGAGGGTAATGTTAATTGACTGCAGTTGGAGATCTGACTTCTTAAATGGTTGTTGTCTTGATTAGGACATTGTACTAATTATCCAGACAATGCTGTCTGTAAACTCATTAGCTTTAATTCAATTAGACACAGAATGATTCAGTGTGGGAGGTTCAGCTCATGTACAACGCTGGGTAACTGTATTGCACTATCTACATGCTTTTCGAATGTAATGAAAGCAATGTAAAGCAAGTTGGAGAATATATAAAAGTCATTTAAGTCAGATTTAGAATAATGAGTTTCCCTTTACATGGGTTTCAGTTTGATCTGTTACAGCACACTAATCAGTGTACAGGCAATGATTCAGGTATCTTTGCCTCTGTAGTGAATGAATCAGCAGGAAAAAAAGATTAAATTTGATCTGTACAAAATCAAATGTGTTCATCAACAGTCCTGAACTGTGAAGCAAGAAACTGCTTGCTCACTGCATGGAACTCTAGATCAATGTCAGGGAAATGCCTTAAGTGCAATTTTAATGAAAAGTCTTGGCATATGAGCATCGAGTAAAATGAATTTGATGAGCGCAATGAAGGAACGAATCAAATGATGCCAAGATTTAGTGGATAGAGGAATAAAGATGATTGGGCCTCTAGCGGCCATATGGGAGGTCATAAGCTCTGCTCTGTTGCTTTTCAAAACAATCTGACTGTTTCAACAGAACAGAACGGGTGTGCTTGGCTCCTGCTGTCAGCTTTTAGTACCAGCAAGTCCCAGGTTGTTTGTCTGTTTGTTTTTTCTGATCTGCTGCACTCATGGCTATGGCATGGTTAAGTTCAGATGTTCAGATGAAGAAAAGAAACTAAAAATATGCAAAGAGAAAACAGAAGTGACAAGCAATAAAGGATTTGGCTAAATTCAGACACAGGACAGTAACAACCATGTGCTATAATGGCCACCATGATGACATCCATTAGTTGCTCATGTCAAGGTAAAACTTGGAATTCAAAGTCAGATGAAAGACAAGAAAGCTAACTGTGTTACACTGATGCAAATTGGGAAACAAATGCACCTAATTGCACTTCATGTAAGACAATGAAGTCAATGAAATGACCCATGCTACAATATATGTCAAATATCTTGCTTGGTAGCCCAGTGGTTAGATATTGATGCATCATTTGTTCACAACTGAATCTCTAATGAACCTCCTCCACTCCTGACATGGTTGACAGGAGATTTAGGACAGAACTGCAGATCCTCCATGATATAGTCCACATAGACCTCTAGTGTTGCTCACTGAAGACATCCTAACAATGCCAAAGTAGTCTGATTAGACTTCAAAATAATTGCACCAAAGCCATTAGTATTCCAAAATCATTATACACATGAAAGAAGCAAACACTTAGAGTGAGTGATTATGTGCACAAATCTCTTTACTATAACAACAAATTAATTTTCGTAGCTGTAGCTGGGTGGAGAATCTCTTATAGTATGACAAGGACTCTCAAGGACTATGCTCCACTGATGTTTCTTTGCCTGGACCATGTGAATAAACGTGTGTGTGTGTGTGTGTGTGTGTGTGTGTGTGTGTGTGTGTGTGTGTGAGAGTGTGCGCATATGTGTGTTTAACATTCAATAGCTCAGTAGATGAGAAAAGTCCCTCTGGGCTCATTGGCTCCTGTTGACCACATGACCAGCCAACCAGGAAGCGTTGACAGTTAATCCCATAGCGCCTCATCATCTGGCTAATTATGCTTGAGTCCTCTGATGGATGTGCATATCTCTATGTGGATCTGTATATGGATGTGTGCCTGTGCCTGTCTGTCATGTATTTGTATAAGCTTCAAAGCTGTTTCATGCTCGCCACTGCTACAGCAAGATGGCTGCTCGTTGTGACGTATCAGGGTCTAAACTGAAATTATCTTGCGGAATAAATAAAAGATTGAATAAGAGTCGGAGACGAAGTAGTAGTAGTGATGACTGAAACAGATAAGAGAAAAGAGGAGTGAAAGACATAACTGTGTCAGCAGAATCCTACTTAATTTCTCCATTTTACACAAAACTTTATAGGCTGAAAAAGTCATTTAAAAACAGAAAATGAGAGCTGTTATTGTCTAATTATGTTTTTTCTTTTCTGTGCCAAATTTGAGTTGTGAAATTTAGAAATAGCTAACAATTTATAACAAGACAATAAAAACAAAAAACTCAGGAATATCTATTCTTGGAAGTTGTCACTTGCAGGTGAAATTTGTGAATTTGAACAGAATGTGCAAAAACATCAAAGAATTCTTAAGAACAACACCAAAACAATTAGAAACCCTGGTGTGAACTTGCTGTGCATGGATCTGAAATCTGATATGCAGAATTTATTAACAGACTCTCAAACTGTCATTTATATGTCAAGTTAAGTGTCAGGTTTATTTAACAAGTAAAAATAAAACAAGTCCAAAATAAATTGCTTTCACCAATATCCTGATACCCTGCTGCTGGTCATGAGCCATTTGTCTCAAAAACTGTCAGATATGTGTCAAGTCCAACACATAAAAAACAATAATAATGAAATTGATTGATAGCGGTGTACAGAGTGACCACCAATACTCATCGTGACTGTGAATGTGATTACATGAGACACGCTTGATGCCAATGAAATGACCCTGCTGTCAAATTCAAACAAAGTAAGGTATAAAATAATTTCCACTAACAAAAGAAACAATTTCATTTTCATGTCTTTTTATATACTCAAAGGACACATTTGATGAATTTCAATGTATATTTTAAAAACATCATCAGCATGTATGAATTGGGAATCTTGGATAACCCTACACATAGTTCATGTCTAATATTCCTTTGTTTGAGAGAACTGCACAGTGAGAGAGAGAGAGAGAAAAAGAAAGAGAGAGAAACATGCAACACAGAAACAGACAGCGATAATGACTCCCTAGGGCGAACATGCCTTTTGGCCGGACCACTTCCTCTGTCTGAATACATGACTCAAAAGTCACATTAGACTAGTGAACAGCATACGTGTGTGTGTGTGTGTGTGTGTGTGTGTGTGTGTGTGTGTTTGCCATTCCCCAGGGCTCGTAGCATTGCTGTGAATCCATGACTCAAGTGATGGACTAGACTACTGTGATTCATTAGCTAACATTAACACACTGTGCATGTGTGTGTGTCACAGAGGTCGGAGCAGTGGGGTTAAAATGCAGCGCGACAAGCCCCGCTGGCTTACATATCATCACTAACTGACCAATCACACCTTGCGTATTTCATTATGAACCAGAATGACATTCAGTAGAGCCCATACCCCTTCTAACGCCAGACCAGCCTACACATGTTTATCAGATCCAGATTGCACCAAATTGCACAGTCATAGATCTAAACAACATAAATATTTCTAGTTTTCATATCAACATACGTCATTATTTCCTGAAAAATTGACTAAAATGTCGGAAAATGCCTTATGTCACAAAGTTCAGAAAAGTGACGAGAACATTCCTTGATCTGGCCCTTTTAACCAGATCAGCACCAAAATATGATGGTTTCTTCGCTGGCCATTGTCCCATCTCTCCAACAAGTTTGGTGCAAGTCAGTTCAGTACTTTTTAAATAATCCTGCAATCCTACAAACCAACAAACAAACAGACATTGATGAAAACATTCCTGTATTGGGTAAACTGACAAGTAGGACAAACTAAACGTTAAGAAATCTGTTCAAATTTTGTTGTTGAGAGATCATTAACTGATAGTTACAGTCATGTGGTCTCCTTCATCGCTGCATTCCTTTACTGTGTGTGCCCATTACAATATGGAACACAACGATTAGCAAACAGTCACTCTAATCATGTTACACAGAGAATCGGGGTCTACAGTAAAATAGTGTTTGAGTAGGTAAATCGATGTTGTATAGAAAATGCATTTTTGCATTTTGTCATGCTCTTTTTCTTCCCCTCCCTCTCTGGCTGTGTGTCATGCTGTGCCTCTTCAGTCAGAGTAGCTGTAATGGCTGCCCAGCTGCAATCACCATGATTATCTCTAGAACCGAAGTAAAGCACATACGAGTATTTCACCAACTGATTGAAGGAAATTCTCCAAAAGTATTTTTTTTCATCGTGCCTCTCCCATTATTTCTATTTTAGCTAACATGATTAAAGGTTGTCGTTTTGATTTCTGCAGTTAAGTTGAAATCTCTGTCCTCAGTCACAGGAAGTCTAAAAGCTTGCTGCTGAATTGAATCACCTGCTGCAAACTGCACTCGCAAGGTGTAATACTAGACGACTTATGTTGGATTTTGATTTTTGTAAAAACAATGTAAACATTATGTTAAATGCATTAAAACTATTTTGACCACTTTGACCTATATTGATCAGGACAGGTGTGGCCCCTTAACCCAGTAGAAATTTCTCAATGGGGCTAGTTTGTGTGGTACAGATTGGTACACAGTGTTGATAATACATTAACTTTAAGCAGTGCAGATACTAGTTTAATATCTTTAGTGTTAAGTGGTCATTGCTGTGGTAGTTTCGAACTCGCATATCACTAAGCAATGTGATATATTTCAATTTCAGTTGAGATTTTCTTTTGAAATTTCAAATCAAATTTAGTCAAGTTCAATTTTGTTTCTATAGCCAAATATTACAAATCACCAATTTGCCTGTAGTGGCGTGAAAATCTGCACAGCATACAACACCATGTCCTTAGAAACCTGAATCGAATAAGGAAAATCTCCCTCGGAAAATCTCCCTCGGAAAAAGAGAGATAAAGGTGGAAAAAGGAGCACCTGAGGAGGGATCTTTCTTTCAGGATGGACGGACATGCAATAG